GCCCGTGCGGGCAGACAGCCTGCTTCCCTGAGCCCGTGCGGGCAGACAGCCTGCTTCCCTGAGCCCGTGCGGGCAGACAGCCTGCTTCCCTGAGCGAGGGCCTCGCCCTCGCCCTCGCCCTCGCCTTCTTGCCCAGTTCTGGAAGTTCTCAGCGGCTCCCGTCTGCCGTACAGAAGCAGGGGAGGACCCGCCCCCATTGCAGGACTAGGGAGTGCCAGGCCCAGAGCGGCTCCCACAGCCCTAAGCGGGACCTCACCGTGGGCTCCCGGGCAGGCCAGGCACCCGCTGAAGGCTTGCGTGTCCTTCAGAAGCGGTGTCCTTGTTGGCCGCGGCGCCAGGGACCTCGCAAAGGCCTGGACGCCCCTGGAGAGCAGCCACAGGTGCCGGACCATTCACAAGCGGGTGGGAAACGGTATCATAGTCACTGGCCTTTGGGAGACAGTGAGGATCAGGTGGCCAGATAGAAATTTCTGGAGCAGAAGGTGATTAATGTAGAAGGGCTCCCCTAAACAGACCAGGTAGACACCCCTGAGAAAGTGTGTGTGATGACAGAGGGAGCTGCCAAGCCTTCCAGGTGTGGCAGGAGGGGAAGGAGGCAGTGGCTGTGCCGGAACTGCCTGACTTCAAACCCTGCGTTCCCAGGCCACAGCCGTGTTTCCTGCGTGGCTCCGTGGTAGGCCCGCTCTACTGCCCCAAGCGCGGCCTGTGTCCGGTATGTGGAGGAATGCTGCGCACGGTTGCCTTGTTTGAGGTTCATAGCGCATCTCAGCATGTTCTAAAAGGCCCACTGTAAACACACTTTAAATCTGAACAATGGGGGCATTTGTCCCAAACTCTTTGCACCCTGGCACCCGAACCCTTACTGATCACGAACACGCTGCAGAGTTGCGTTCTGTGCGACACACTGGGAAACGTTACGTGGCACCACGTGCTGTGTGGCAGATGCGGGGGGGTCGGAGGGGTAGAGGAAGGAGGGAAGGAAGGGTGGATTGCAAGAACCACAGCCCCGGGGCTCCCAGATTTCTTAGCCCTGAGGAAGGAAGTTACTGTGTTTATTGCAGAGATGGGGGGAGATTGGGCCAGACTTACAGGAGATACAAGGCAGGTCCAGGGCTGATGTTCTTGTATTTTTTCGGGTTCATCAGGGAGCAGGAATGTGGTTGGTGAAGCTCTGAGGATGTAGCTCCGACAGCAGGGATGGGGCAGAGACGCAGATGCAGAGCTGCCCCAGGTTTGCACTCTGGGTGGCAGGCGCTGCCGGCTCTTCTTTGTGACTCGGTCCCTCTCGACAACTTTCCTTATTCTCCTTCCTTCTCTGTTTTTATCCACTTCCCCCCACCCTGACCTCCTTCTCCTCCT